TAGATAAGTAGTATAAATTACAGTTGTTGTCTATTTTTATTAGTTGTGTAAATCTTTCTTCAGTTCACATTATGTTGCCAATTATCAAAATTCTCTTGTCTTCATGTAACAGTTCTTCCTCCATAGCCTGAATCTTGGGTGGCTCCTCCATTCTACCTCAAGATTTGCAATTTTATTTTTTTTCCTCACATCTCTCTTATTTTTAGTTGCAACAGAGCTAGATGACTCTTGCAATATTATGAACAGAACACAATTTAAAACATTTAATGTCAGCTTCCTCACCAGATATACAAAACAAAACTGAAATTTAAACTGGATAAAAGTAGTCTAGAAGATACTCGGTATCTTATTTAATTTTTTACCATCAAATCCCATTCAAGGAGTTGTATTCTAATATGTCATCCCAAACTGTTCAGCACATATCGAAAAAGTACAATCCATTAACGACGCTGGCCGATATTGTGTAATCACAGACAAGGCCATCATTAGTATAAAGCCATCTCCCTCTTTAAGCAGTCAGGTTAGATGATTCTACTGTTTCCTCCAAGCTAACAAGGTGCAATGCTGGACAAGTAGAGCACTTGTTGGATCTTGGACCTCACTGATCCTCTCTGCATGAGATCTTTATGCAGCGTACATGCTGCCCAGCATTCAGTTCAGTCCTAATTACAGAGTTCATTCTCTACCTGTGTAGTGAATTCAATGGCTACTGAACTTATTTCCACTGAAGTATCAGAATAAGCATTCAGATCATTTTACAAACTAAACTGCACTTACTTTTGTTTTAGCCCAAATAGTTCCATTTATAGTGTTATATAAAAATGTTTAACACTCAGTAAGTGAAACCACAGTTTATCCCATTATGAGCAAATTGAAAGTGAAGGGAATACTCTCAGAACTGCAAATGAGGCTACTTCAGCCAGAGTTGTTCTCAGGCCCTGGAGCAGTTAGTGAGCCCACATTTTACACTCAGGAGTGGTGGGATAGTATTTGCATAAGTGATAATATAAACTGAAGATACACATTTTGACCTTAAAATAACATTATTCATTTTGAAGCAGAAATGCTGCATTGCCCATTGGGGCAAGAAAGCAGATAAATACAGATAATATCTGCCATGACTGCTCACAATTATTGTTAGGGATAGGGCTTTTATAATTTAGAAAAGGTGCAGAATGATTTTTCTTTGAAATCAAGACCCATGAAAAGTTAAATACTCTTTAATAAAGAGTGTATACTAATGTATTTTCATAAAGATTTATAGTATTACAGATGTCTCCCATTTCCCCCCTCTTACCCCCTTTCACCCAGTCCCTATCCAACCACCCCACTCAGGTCTTCACCACCCTATTGTCTGCGCCCATGGGCTATGCATATAGTATTCTGTTCATTCAATTCTACAAATAAGTGGGATCATATGATATTTATTTTCCTCTGATATTATAATTTTTTATTTAATCAAGAGAACATACAATTAATGTAAATTTATTATATAAAATATTATAATGAGCCTTTGTGTACTTACCATTTTCCTCAAGGAATAAAATATTAGCAATAATTACAGGTTCCTCTCTATCTTTTCCTGAGCACATTATCACCCCACTATCCCGACCTGCAATAACTATTCTGAATTTTATATTCAACATTCTTTTACTATCCTTTATAGTTTTATTATTATATGTATGCATCTCTAAGTGATATCATTAAATTTGTATGTATTTGACATTTTAGAGAGAGAGAAAGGGAGAGGGATAGAGATAGAAACATCAATTGGCTGTCTCCCAGATGCCCCCCACTTAGGATAGAGCCTGCAACTCAGGCATGTGCCTTGACCAGGAATCAAACTCTTCACCTCTTTGTTCTTTCGTCAAGGCTCAATCACTGAGCCACTCTGCTGGGCTGTATTTGACTTTTGTAAGAACCCTTATCACAATGTATTTTTATGGAATATACTTTTATATTCAACAATATGTTTATGATATTCAACCATGTTAACAACTGGTCATCATGACATTTTATAAGCCCTGTTTCTTCTGTAAAACCTTTTACAGCCTCCATAGTAGAGATGGTTCCGGAATCAGCTTGGCATATGAAAGAGCATTGCAAAGTGGAGAGAGTCCTAGACAAGGATTTGGGAAATTTAGTCTTTTTGCAAATGCTTTTAAGTTTGATCTAGATTTTGCCAAGTCTTTTAAACTTGTTCTGTGTTCTTATAATGCATTAGATTGTTTCTAAGTACCTCAGAATACATATTTAATAGTTCTCTTTCAATTTATCAAGAACAGTGAGAATATATTGTTAAGTAGGAACAGTAAAAATACTGTTTCCAGATAACCAGATTTCAGATTAAATGCTATTACATAACACATATTTAAAAGTTGCAATTATAGTTCATATGAGTAGTCAGTGAGTAGTGATAGCTGCCTCTAATTGTCTCTAGTGTCCCTCTGTAGAATGGTATATTTAGGTATATTCAGGTTACCATGTTCTTAAACATATTAAGATTCATTATAAATAGTTGCTTCATAGGAAGGAATCAGTGGTTTAAAAAATATTATTAATGTATACATAGCAAGCATGTCTCAGATATCGTGGCTAGCTTAGCAATGCTGTTTGTTAGGTTGATGAAGAAATGCTGGCAAAAGCCAAACAAAGGATACACACACAGTGTTTTAGTATGGAAAATTAGATCATGATGTTTAAAGAGAATTTAGGTGAGAGCCAATGGTCACCTAAACCTATACATAACATTTATATTCTATAGAACCACAGCTTAAGAAATACTAACTGTGAAACACTATCCTATCTAATAAAAGAGAAACATGGTAATTGGCATACGACCACTACCCTTCCCATTGGCTAATCAGCGAGATATGCAAATTAACTGCCAGCCAAGATGGGGGCCAGCAACCAGGCAGCTTGAAACTAACATGAGGCTTGCTTGCTTTAGTGACAGAGGAAACCAACGTTCCCTGCCTGCCTTGCCAGCCTCTGAGCCTGCAGTTTAAAAAACATTGTAACAAACATAGAAGCTAAACAAAACCCCAGAAGCCTGCTTTCAGCGAGCAGGGATCTCAGAGCTGGAATTAATACAGAGTTTCGATTATAGAACCTAAACAAACCATATACCTGCTTTCAGCAGCAGATGCCTAAGAGCTGGAGCCTCAGAGCTAAAGCTGGCCCAGAATAAAAAAGAAAAAAAAAAAGAAAAAAAGGAGCGGTTGGGAGCTTCAGTCCCAGCCTGAAAACAGCCCTCAGCCCCTCACCCACACTGGCCAGGCACCCCAGTAGGGACCCCCACCCTGAAGGGTGTGTGACCAGCTGCAAACAGCCATCATCCCCTCACCCAGGCTGGCCAGGCAACCCAGTGGGGACCTCCACTCTGACTCAGGACACCCTTCAGGGCAAACCAGCCAGCCCCACCCATGCACCAGGCCTCTATTCTATATAGTAAAAGGTAATATGCCTCCCAGCACCGGGATCAGCGGAGCCAAGAGGCCTCCCGGCACTGGCATCAGCGTGACAGGGGGCAGAACCCAAACTCTCTGATCGCCCTGCGGCTCTGTGTGTGACAGGGGGCGGGACCACAGCCTCCCTATCTGCCCTGCTCTGTTTGTGACAGGGGAAGGCGCCCCAACCCCCTGATCAGCCCTGCTCTGTGCCTGATAGGGGGAGCTCCCCAACCCCTTGATCGCCCTGAGGCTCTGTGTGTGACAGTGTGCGGTGCCTCAACCCCCTGATGGGCCCTGCTCTGTGCATGACAGGGGGGAGCTCCCCAACCCCCTGATTGACCCTGCTCTGTGCGTGACAGGGTATGGAGCCCCAACCCCCCCGATGGGCCCTGCTCTGTGTGTGATAGGGGGCAGCGCCTCAACCCCCTGATTGGCCCTGCTCTGTGCATGACAGGGTATGGAGCCCCAACCCCCCTGATGGGCCCTGCTCTGTGCATGACAGGGGGTGGCGCCGCAACCTCCCCATCGACCCTGCCTTGAGTGTGACAGGGGGCGGTGCCCCAACTCCCCAATTGTCCCTACCCTGAGCATGACTGAGGGTGGCATCGCAACCTCCCCAATCTGCCCTGCTCTGTGCATGACAGGGGAAGGTGCACAACTCCCCAATCGGCCCTGCTCTGAGCCCGACCAGGGGCTGCACCTAGGGATTGGGCCTGCCCTCTGCCACCCGGGAGCAGGCCTAAGCCAGCAGGTCGTTATCTCCCAAGGGGTCCCAGACTGTGAGAGAGCACAGGCAGGGCTGAGGGAACCCCCTCCCCACCGAGTGCAAAAATTTTTGTGCACCGGGCCTCTAGTAAGTATAATAAGAAAATATTTTATATGTAGAAACTATAGTGATAAATTTTCCTTTGAGTTTGAGAATCATATTTTAAAAAAGTATGGTGTGTGTTTATTCCATTGCTTTCTATGTATTTATTCCAGCAGTTCTCAACCTGTGGGTCGCGACCCCTTTGGGGGTCGAATGACCCTTTCACAGGGGTTGCCTAAGACCATCGGAAAACACATATATAATTACATATTGTTTTTGTTATTAATCACTATGCTTTAATTATGTTCAATTTGTAACAATGAAATTGGGGGTCACCACAACATGAGGAACTATATTAAAGGGTCATGGCATTAGGAAGGTTGAGAACCACTGATTTATTCCAAGGTAAAATATGTAAAGACATTTGAATGGGTAATATAGAATGGCTCCATAGTTACAAGCCAAATTTTATTTCACATATACTTACTTTCATTTCTGCATAACTGTGTGATTTTGGGTCAAATTATTTATCTTCTCTAAGTTTAATTTTCTCATCTACCAAATAGAGATAGTAATAATAGATAGAATGATTATGAAGATAAGCTGTGACAATTTATATAAATGACCTAGCACAATTATAGCAAATAGGAAGAATACACACACACACACACACACACACACACACACACACACACACATAATTAAAATTAAATTTCCCCTTTGTGATTATCTGAGGTTAGCCAGAAAATCCCTGTGAGAAGGGATTTGATGAGTGCATTCTCAAATCATGTGTTCATGACATATATGTAGAAAATGAACTGGCTTTGACTCGACATGTTTCTGCATGCCTGGATTTGTGGTAAAGATTATTACTTTTTTTTTTTGTTGTGAAACTTTTACATTGCCTTTGAAACACTGTAAGTAATAGAATAGTGTATGGTGAAAAGTAAGGTTGGACAAGTTAACTTAGTGCTCTTCTCCTTCTCTGTCAACATTCCCCTTTCCCTTCCTCAATACGTCACATGTACCCTCAGCCCTTCAAGAGAAAAGCATGCTCATAAATTGATTCAAACTAAGGTATAAGTAACTTAATATATTGTCCTTTCATGTTTTAATGCATTTGGAAGGAGGATGCCAGTAGAGGAATTACTTAATATTGTCAGGGCTTGGCAGAACCTCTATTTTGCCCAAGGATGTAGTGCTGCTTCTGGTGTTGGACTCAGAGTATTATGTGTCCAAGGAGAATGAATCTTCTTCCTTGGCAAATTTGGACTGGTCTGAATTCCATTAACATTGGAATAGTCTTACTTGGTAGAAATGTCTCCATTGAACCATAATTCTTTTGACTGTAGCACCTACTATAGTAAGGAAATATCAATTGGCAAGACTGTTCTGTCAGGAATTTTAAATGTATATCTACAAATGTCATTAACAGTTAGACCAGCCTTAACCAAAATTAAAGCTAAGTAATTAGGTAGTATATACAGTCAGGTGACTCAGTGCAAGATTGAGGAATCAGATGTCAAGGGAAGGTGAGGTCTGGCTAGTGCTTAAGGAAGATGCACATGTAAGTATGAATGGAGCTAGACTTTGCTCAGAGCTGGAAGATCAGAAAGGAAAGGTCAGAAGCAAGACTCTCCAGAGGTCATTAAAAATTAAACAGATAAATGGTCCATACCTGTCATTTAAACAAAATAATTGAGAAAACTTGGGTTTAGGTCATATGCTCTTTTGAGGGGTATTCCCAACGCTCATCTCTCTGATAAAACGGAACTATCATCTTTATCATTTTATTTCTCTTAGGGCCCTTGGTCCTGGCTTTCCTCTGGGGAAATAGTTTTCCCCTAATGACCTTAGAGAGATGGTCTTTGAGGACACATTTCAGGAACTTTGAGTCTGGGAGGTATTTGGTGCTAAGAAATAAGTTTTATGACAACTCAGTTTACACAATAATGGCTTCCTTAAAGTGGAGAAAGAAAAAAGCTGAAATATATCCTTTACTTTACTATATCCTCCTACTGATGAAGCCTGATATATAGAATTTGTTTTTTTAGAAATTGTTTTGTTAAATACAAAGAATTAATGCCAAATATCCTTAAAATAGTTAAATCCTCAGGATATGTTCTTTTATATTAAAACTAGAGGCCCGGTGCACAAAAATTTGTGCACTCGGGGGGGAGGGGGGTCCCTCAGCCCGGCCTGTGCCCTCTCGCAGTCTGGGACCCCTCGGGAGATAATGACCTGCTGGCTTAGGCCTGCTCCCGGGTGGCAGAGGGCAGGCCCAATCCCTAGGTGCAGCCCCTGGTCGGGCTCAGAGCAGGGCCGATTGGGGGGTTGGGACACCACCCACTGTCACACACAGAGCAGGGTCCATCAGGAGGGTTGGGGCTCTGTACCCTGTCATGCACAGAGTAGGGCCAATAGGGGAGTTGGGGCACCATCCCCTGTCACACACAGAGCAGGGCGGATCAGTGGGTTGGGGCGCCGCCCTCTATCACCCACAGAGCAGGGCCGATCAGGGGGTTGGGGCGCCGCCACTCTCACACTCAGGGCTGGGCCAATGGGGAGGTTATGGCTCTACCCCGTCACACACAGAGCAGGGCCCGGGGGGGGGGGGGGTTGGGGCGCCGCACCCTGTCACACACAGAGCCGCAGGGCCGATCAGGGTGTTTGGGCGCTGCCCCCTGTCATGCTGATCCCGGTGCCGGGAAGCCTCTCGGCTCCGCTGATCCCGGTGCTGGGAGGCATATTACCCTTTTACTATATAGGGTAGAGGCCTGGTGCACGGGTGGGGGCCGGCTCGTTTGCCCTGAAGGGTGTCCTGGATCAGGGTGGGGTCCCCACTGGGGTGCCTGGCCAGCCTGGGTGAGGGGATGATGGCTGTTTGCAGCTGGTCACACACCCTTCAGGGTGGGGGTCCCCACTGGGGTGCCTGGCCAGTCTGGGTGAGGGGCTGAGGGCTGTTTTCAGGCTGGGGGTTACTGAACTCCCAAATGCTCCTTTTTTCTTTTTTTTTTTTTTTTTTATTCTGGGCCAGCTTTAGCTTGAGGCTTGGCTCCAGCTCTTAGGCCTCCACTTTGCATACAATGTTGCGAATCTGCTGGCTGAAGTCCGGCGGTATTTGTTACAATGTTTGAAACTGCAGGCTCAGAGGCCTGCAGCCGCAGGCGGGGAACGTTGGTTTCCTCTGTCACTGAGGCAACCAAGCCTCATGTTAGTTTCAAGCTGCCTGGCTGCCGGCTGCCATCTTGGCTGACAGTTAATTTGCATATCTCGCTGATTAGCCAATGAAAAGGGTAGCGGTCGTATGCCAATTACCATGTTTCTCTTTTATTAGTGTAGATATATGACAATTATCACTTTATCTCTTTAATAATAATATCAAATATGAAGGATAAATCCATTAGTATATGTTAAAAATGTAAAAATGCAGCCTTAGCCAGTTTTGCTCAGTGGATAGAGTGTTGGCCTGTGGTGCAGAGTCCCGGGTTCCATTCTGGCAAAGTGCAAATACTTTGGTTGCAGGCTCCTCCCCTGCCTGGGCCCTGGTCAGGGCTCATTGACATCGAAGTTCTCTCTGTCTTTCCTTCACTCTTCCACTCTCCCTAAAAATCAATTGAAAAATATCCTCGTTTGAGGATTAAGAAACAAACAAAAAAGTAAAAATCGTGAAAACATAATTTTATAAAACCACAAGTCTACTAAATAGAGAAAAGTGTTAAGGGTGTAATACATCCATGTTTTAGTAGAGCATTTAATTAATTTTATGCATTAATTAATTATATAGTAAATTAATTTTAAATTTATATTTTAGCTCTCAAGTACTCAAAAGCTAAAATAAAACAAATGCTTACTATCATAAGAGAAAGCATCTGGGGAAAATGCTACAAGGAGATAGGGGGATTCTACTTTTGTTAATGCATTGGTTATGTTCTAAAATGAGTAGAAAAAGGTGTAGAAAATTTAGTTTATTGAAAAAGAATTTAACATTTAAATGTTATGCATATCAGTGTTATAGCAGTAAACAAACATTTTAAATTAGATATTCCCCTGAAAATAGTTACAAATTATTAATTGGAATAAGAAGCCAAATATTTTGCTGAAATAAAAAAGTAAATTGTTCAATGTCTTTGTTTGACTGCTGGAAATATTAATATGAAATTAGAATCATGAATTTTGAAATGAAGGAGTAGAATGGCAAACTATTTGAAAACACATATGGCAATTGCATAATATCACTGAAAAAATGCTTTTTAGATTTCTTTTCTCCCTTCCCCAACTAATGCTGTGAACAAATAGGATGTAAAATAATAAGAATTGTGATTGTGGTAAAATGTCAAATTTACATTTTTTAAAAAAATAATGTCATTCACAGAAAGATACTGAATTTGAGAGAGGCTTAAGAAACAAATCAGTTTGAAGAATTGAACAATTGATCTGTTTCAGGATTAAGTGTGCATGTAGAGTTTAGGTGAATGTTAAAACAGTGGGCATAGGGAAAATTTGGTAATTCCCTGATAAGGTGAGTCATGACATTCTAGCAGCAAAGTACATGGGAAGATATTAAACATCATATCAAGTTATCATATTCTAATATAATATTGGCATATTACTCTCTTTATTCTGATATATTGGAGTTTGTGAAGAGCAGGGATAATTGTAGTATTTCTAAGAGCACATAATATAGAACACTAGAGGCCCAGTGCACAAATTTGTGCACCAGTGAAATCCCTTAACTGGCCTGCTAGATAAGGCCAAAACTGGCTCTCTGACATCCCCCAAGGGGTCCTAGATTGCGAAAGGGCTCAGGCCAGGCTGAGGGACCCCACTGGTGAACAATTGGGGCCGGGGAAAGATGCTGGAGATTGGCCAGTCAGGGAGGGACCAGACCACAGGAAGGCTCCAGGGCGTCTCCAGCCCATCTCGCTCAGTCCTGAAGGGACGGACCCCAGCAACAAGTTAATCTACCAGTCGGAGTGTCTGCCCCTTGGTGGTCAGTGCATGCAATGGCGAACAGTTGAGCAGCCTTAGCATATCATTACCATATTGTGCTTTGATTGGTTGAATGGCCAACCAGTCAACCTGAAACCTAGCATATTAGACTTCTATTATATAGGAGGAGGAGAATATCTTTTGATGTTGGCCATCTTTGTTGAGGTTGTTCTGTTGAAGTTGTTAGCACATTAATCACCGTTATTTCAAATTCCTAGTCTGATAATTGCAAAAGTTCTGCCATATTAATCAGATTTGGGCGTTCTCTCTGTCTCTTCAAACTGTGTTGTTATTGTTTTTCCTTTTAATATGCCTGATAATTTAATATTTATAGGCAGACATCATGAGCTGGATAAAAGTAACTGAAATAAATAGGCCATAAGATACTTTATTTTTATATGGGTAGGAGTCAGGCCATGTTTACTGCTTTTTCTGGCTTTAGGTGTGAGGCTAAAATTCTTCTTTATCCTTATTGTTATCTCCTTTGTAATCAGTGGATTTTATTAGAAACTTCTTAAATAGATCTGAGCTGTGCTGTTCTCTCCGTTGTTATCTCCCCTGTTATTATTGGTGTGGGTGAGATTGTTCCCATGACGTGGGGAAGATACAGCTTTCAACTGTGCTATGAGTAGATCTCAGTCTCTCAGTGAGCCTGTTCCTCACCTCTGGTCTGTGACCTTTCCATGTCTTCTCGGCCTCCTCACCCCTTAGATTCAGCACGGAGGCTTCAAGGGTCTAGAGCTGGGTATTTCCTTTCTCCCAGATTAATTGGGCTCTGGTAAAATTATTTCCCTAGAAGTCAGGCCGTTTTAAGAACAGAATGCTCTACAGTATTTCAAATGGCTATTCTCTCCCCTTCTGGAAGCA